ACATTACTGACTAAAAATACATTGCTTCGGAACTCAGGCTAATGAAAATAGAGTTTAAAACTGGAACCAAGTGGAATCCCTTTTAATAAAAGTACGTATACCTGAATAGAAGCCTGGTAACTCCAAGGAGAAGTTATTACTTTTAGTGCCAATGAAAATTATTTTTTGATTCAAGGATGAGAAACCTTGTTTCTCAACAGTTAAAAATATTAATTTGTATTTTGTCTGCTGCACATAGTTGGGAGGGGGACTTTTATTTTTGAGACCTATGATGACCATTTTCAAAACATTCTTTTAGTCGAGAAAGAAAAGGATAGCAATATTACATTTATCTTCAATCTCTACCTCAAGAGATGGGGGGCTGGAGAAACTCTTTCTGAAAACATTATTGGAACTAAAGAAATGTCTTTATGAATATATCCGTGTTATATTTCTGAGCTACTGTAAGAAATTGAGAATCAAGCTGATTTCTTTGAGAGGAAGGCCAATTGAAAGACAGGGCTACTGAAGTGGGGGAAAAGCAGCAAGGTGAAATTGAATACAACCTAGTTCTACCCCCTAGAATTGTACCTCCAATGTAGGATATGAAAAAGAAAAAACTCAATGAAGCAATCACCTCAGGGAAGTTTCTCTGGGCTGCTGCTTTTTCAGCAGATAAGGAGAATCAAGTGGGAAGATGGCCTTATCCCTCAGCTGCACATATATAAGAAAGAACAAATCTGTATATTTGTTTTCTCTTCAGTTCTGACTGCTTCAGTTTTCAATCCATTCTGTCCAGTTCCTCCATCAGTTTTCTTATAGGCATTTTCACATTGATATACATATCTTTCTAGAATTTCACCCTCACATAATACATGTAAAAGAAGATCATACTTCTAATTACAGTGTATGGATGTAAAAGCTGGACAGTGAAAATAACTGATGGGGGGGGGAATCAACTCATTTGATAATTAAGTTACATTTTTTGATTGGGTAACCTCCCTGATAGACAGAGGGGATTTTGTAGACATTTTATCTTGACTTCAACAAAGCTTTTGACAAAGTGCTCCATGATAATCTGATCAACAAGCTAACTAGGTGTGGGCTGGATAGATCAAGTGTCAGGTGGATACACAGTTGACTACAGAATTGTACTAAGAGGGTGATGATTAATGGCTCCTTCCCCAACTGGGAGGAGGTTACAAGTGGCGTACCCCGGGGCTTAGTCATGGGTCCAGTGCTCTTCAACATTTTTATTAATGACCTGAGTCAGGGAAAGCTAATCAAATTTTCATATGACACAGAATTGGGTGGAATAGCTAATACACTGGAAGACAGCAGCAAAATTCAAAATGATCTTGATAGGCTGGAGCATTGGGCTAAAAACAACAGAATGAAATTCAACAGGGGTAAGTGCAAAATACTGTACCTCAGAAAAAGAAACCAAATGCACAGTTACAAGATGGGGAATACTTGGTTCAGCAATATGTACTGCAAGCGAGAAGGATCTTGGAATTGTCATAGATCACAAGCTGAATATGAGCCAATGTGATGTGGCTACAAAAAAGGCAAATGCTCTTTTAGGCTGCATTAACAGAGGTATAGTCACAAAATGAGGCAGTGACAGATTTTACTTTCTTGGTCTCCATGATCACTGAAGATGGTGACAGCAGCCACAAAATTAAAAGACGCCTGCTTCTTGGGAGGAAGACAATGACAAACCTAGACAGCATCTTGAATAGCAGAGACATCACCTTGCCGACAAAGGTCTGCATGGTCGAAGCTATGGTTTTTCCAGTAGTGATGTATGGAAGTGAGAGCTGGACCATAAAGAAGGCTGACCACTGAAGAATTGATGCTTTTGAACTGTGGTGCTGGAGGAGACTCTCGAGAGTCCCCTGGAATGCAAAGAGAACAAACCTATCCATTTTGAAGGAAATCAACCCTGAGTGCTCACTGGGACAGATCCTCAAGCTGAGGCTCCAATACTTTGGCCCTCTCATGAGAAGAGAAGACTCCCTGGAAAAGTGTGAGGGCAAGAGGAGAAGGGAACAACAGAAGCCAAGATGGTTGGACAGTGTCATCGAAGCGACCAACATGAATTTGACCAAACTCCAGGAGGCAGTGGAAGACAGGAGGGCCTGGCATGCTCTAGTCTGTGGGGTCACGAAGAGTCAGACACGACTAAATGATACCTGAAAGACTGTCATACAGAGCAGGGGCAGGCTCTCTTCTCGATCATCCCAGAGTGCAGGATGTGCAACAATGGGCACAGGTTACAGGAAGTCAGGTTTTTGTTGAATATGAGGAAAAACGTCCAAATTGTTAGAGCAGTAAGGCAATGAAACCAATTATCTTGAAAGGTGGTGAGTGCTCCAACACTGGAGGTATTCAAGAGAAATTTAGACAAACACCTGACAGATCTCCTTTGATTTGTATTCCTTTTATTGAGCAGGGGGTTGGACTAGACCACCTTATAGGCCCTTCCAACTTCTTCATACTATGATTCTAAGTGGGTTGTAGATCAAAGCAGCTCTAAGCTCTAGAAGCAAAAATGGCAAAACTGAGATTGTACTTCAGATACATTATGAAAAGACAAGGCTTGCTGGAAAAAAACAAATATGCTGGGAAAATTTGAATGGGGCCGGAAAAGAGGAAGACCAAATATAAGATATTTGAAATATAAAAGGAGCCATGGCCTTCCGTTTGCAAGAGTTTAGTAGGGCCATTAATGGCCATTTGAGATCACTGGTTCATACGGCCAGTACTAGTGAGAAGCAATCTGATAGCACATAACAATGCAATGCATTTTTATACCTTGTTAGCAACGTACACATTTTTAATGCAGTACTAGGCTGTATCTCAGCATAAGCACAGGGTCCGGATCAATGGAGATAACAATACACCTGTATTCTGCTTTGTTCAGGCATCACCCGGAACACTGTGGTTTGGTGAACCACTGTTTAAAAATGATGTTGACAAGCCGGAAAATGTTCAGAGGAAAACAACCAGGATCAGAAAGGTCTGGAAATGTCCAAGGGACATTTATGTGTACATGCATATGTTTAGCCTGGAGTAGACTGAGAGGCAATATCATAGTCACCTTCAAATATTTGAGGGGATTTTGTGAGGAGGACACGACAGCCTTTTTTCTGTAGATCCAGAGAATACTTCTGTAGGTCCTAAGAATACTTAGGACCCTAAGTATTGGAATCGAATTACCAGAATGAAATTTTTACTTAAACTTCAGGAGGAGCTGCCTGACAGTACAAGCTATTCGGCAGTGGAGTGGCCTACTTTGGAAAATGGTAGACTTTCCTTCATTGGAGGTTTTAGAACAGAACCTAGATGGCCACCTCCCGGTCATGCTTTAGTTACGGATTTCCTGCTTTGGTTGGGGCTTCGGACTGATGACTCTTGGTACCTCTTCCAGCTCTACAATTCTGTGATTTTGTGTACTTCTCCATATGGAAAGACCGCTTGGCCTGATGAGCCCGTACGTAGCGTTCACCCTTTGTTAGGTATAAGTCATGTATTATTCATGTTCTATGCAAATGTGATGGAGAGGCGGAGTTGAGAGAGAGGTTAAAAGGCGGAGCCTGAGAGGAGGAATTAGTCAGTCGAGAGTCAGTCCAGAGAGAGAGGCAGTGAGTTACTCAGAGGCAGAGGCAGAAGAGATAGAGATTGAGTTAGAGACTGGTTAAGATAAATAGATAGAGACGGTGGACATTATATGGCAAGAGGATAGTATGTACCTCTGAAGAACTTCTGTGATTATTAAATTGACTTCACTTTAATAAATACCGCATTTTTCGCTCCATAAGACGCACCTTTCCATAAGACGCACAGAGAGAGAGTCAGTGAGTTACTCAGAGGTAGAGGCAGAAGAGATTGAGTCAGAGATTGGTTGAGATAAATAGATAGAGAAGGTGGAAATTATATGGCAAGAGGATAGTATGTACATCTGAAGAACTTCTGTGATTATTAAATTGACTTCACTTTAATAAATAAGTTTTGTTTGCATTCACCATATAAGGGTCTGATCCAACGTCATTTATTTTGTGGATTGAGGGAATCCACTGGTGACAGTTAAAGGAAAACACGACTGGAGCCTTTCTGAGGGCACAAAACGTAGGTGCTTCAAGGAGGTGAATGTCACACCATGTGAGTCCGAGCAACAGCCAGGCCACTTGAGATACCAGAGGCCAGATCACACATGAAGGGGAAAGCATATTTTCTGCTCCTGCAGCTTAATTGCTCTGGAGATTACAAGTCTTTCAGCAGGGACAAAAACAAAACAAAGCCAGTTTTTTTGCCACCTTTAATACTATCAAATTGATTTTGTTGCAAGTTTTCTTGGGTTGCAATTCACTTCTTCAGAACTACGGAGTGCGGCCTCTAAGCCGGCCTGCAAAAATTCACCTCGGAATAAATGGGTTGGCCATGCTTTAATGGTGCCCCGATACTTTCGTTTTTTATGTTGCTGAAATAGATTAACAAAGCTACCCCTCTGAAAATAAATATTTCAGTGGTATGTACTGGTTGACGGATGACAAAACAAAAGGAAAGCTGATTTGCCAAATACAGATTAAGGCAGGGTATATTAGTATTAAACAGTATTTTCCCCTATAAAGTGTATTGTTTCTATATATGGAATCAGTGTCACATCTAGTGATATCCTATGCTCATAACTGGAAAGGGATAAAATGCTTTTCCTGTGACAATGCAATTCCTTAGTAGCTTCGTATTGTATCTGACTTGCAAATGAAGCATGTGTACTACTCTCAAGCAAAGCCATCTAGTTGCCCAAATGAGGTAGTGAGAAAAGCTCACATTAGGACAATCAAATGTCATTTATCACTTTTGCAGCCCCTGCTTCTACATGCAGAGCTGTTTATTTCATCTAGTTTCACCTTGAGTCTGAGAATCGGTGTTCATTGTGATTCATTTTCTCAGCTCCTTAGCCACCGTTCTTTCCAATATATTTATTTATGAGCAAAGCATTAATTAAACCACCGTACCTCTTGGGTTTTGTGCTGACTTCCATTGTCTGTGACCAGAGACTGTGTCTTCTCCCATTTCTCTGCCACCTGATTTGCTTCTTCTATCTTTTGCTGGCATGTTTTCTCGGAGTTCAGCAGCGTCACTTCGTAAAATTCTTGAATATCTGTGGGTAAATAAGAAATAACATTTAAAATAAAAACCAAATCGACTCTTTGATAAAGTAGATAGCGAGGTTATGGCTTGTTTACTTAAAATTAGCATGCACTATGCGCTTGTTTAAAAACTGCATTGTATTCAGAGAGGCAGACGGGATCCTTTCTAGCAGGAAGGTACTGACAAACTAATTATCATCCGATAACGCCGGGACATTTTAAAAAGAGAGAGAGAGAGAACAATTTTCCTTTTAAAATATTGTATTGATCTTTTCATAAATATTACATGAATATATGAATAATGCATGGCTAATCACTACTGAATGAAGACTCAGAGTAAACATACTAACTGAAAGATATTCCTGCACATTCTTTCTTCTGACTCTTTCCTGTTACTCAACAAGTCCAGACTGAGGCAATGTTATAGGGTGCACTGGTTCAATGAGTCCATGAGTCACTTACCCATGGGCATTGCTACAGAAATTGCAACTGGTCCTGCAAGGAAACTCAAAATACTAGCCAATGATTCGGCTAGTCCAGTGGTTCCAATCCTTGAGTCCCCAGGTGTTCTTGGACTAAAACTCCCAGAAGCCTTCCCCACTAGCTGCGCTGGCCAGGATTTCTGGGAACTGCAGCCTAAGAACATCTGGAGACCCATGATTAGGAACTACTAGGTTAGTGGTTTCAAGCCAGGGTATTAATAATCAATATTCTGAAGTCAGCATAGCTCAGCGATAGATCAAATCTATGGATACAAAAAGTTCTAGGTTTGATATTTAGCATGGGCCATGCATATTTGCATGTACCCAGTGCACCTGTACAATGAGCAAAGGATTTGCTGCAGGTAATTGCAGCTAATTGACAAGGTGCCAAATACATGCCCAGTACAGAATCAGGCACATTACCAGCACCTCATCAATCTGGCATAGCAAGTTTCTAGATTGCTCATGCATGTGTGTAAATATCCAATAGAATTCTGTCTCCTATAGGCTTGAGAGCCAAGTGCCAGCCAATGTCCAGAGGTCCAGTGTCTCTACACACCCACCCTTGGATCTTGGAAGGCTGCGCTCACTTCCATGAGCCTCCCTTCTCCCCCACCCTTTTCTAATTGAAAAAGCCCCGTTACATCCTCCAGTGGCCAAAAATTTGGAAAAGTGTGTTGCATTCCTCAAATGTTTGAGAACATCTGAGAAATGCATGGGCAAAATGACCACATACCCCATAAATGAGACAAAGAGACTTTCTGAGCTGTTTTTCCCCAATTTTAAAAAAAATTGGGTCATGGGAGTCTTGGCGACATTTACCTCACTGGGGGCTGCATAAGACCTATCGGCTACATATCTCCCACCCTTCATGTAGATAATCCTAGCTACATTTGGATGCCTTAACCAGGAAACCTGGTTTAATAAGCTGCAATATGAATCAGCTGCAAGCTCATGTATGTAAATATGTGCATGTAAGCTAGGAGGAATATGTGGAATTAAAGTTGGGATACAGTCCTCAGGTAAAATTAATTCTATTCCCCTCACGCGACCACTTGCCACTTTGCCTAATGCCACATAGTGACCTGAGGTGTTATATCTGATTGCTATAAATATAAATGTCCACATCTTTTTTTGAGGAAGGTGATCAAATACACACATGAAAAAATGTGTAAGTTACAAATATTTTTCCTCTACTGGATCATTACATGCTGTGAACTTCAGTGTGGACTACTAGAGGTTTCAGCATCACATCAGGGGTTATTCTGATCTGTTGACATTAAGTGGGCCAGGGCGTGGACTCACCTCCCTCTATTACCATCTCCACACAAGAATTGGAGGTTGTTCATGAATTTGTGTACCTTGGCTCAACGATCTCAGCCACTCTCTCCCTAGAGGTTGAGCTGGATAAACGCATTGGCAAAGCGGCTACCATGTTCTCTAGACTCACAAAGAGAGTATGGCTCAATAAGAAGCTGACGGCATACACCAAAATCCAGGTCTACACGGCCTGTGTCCTGAGCACCCTCCTGTACTGCAGTGAGTCCTGGACCCTTTGTGCCTGGCAGGAGAGGAAGCTGAACACCTTCCATATGCATAACCTCTGACACATTTTTTGGCATCACTTGGCAGGACAAAGTTCCAAATAGAGTAGTCCTAGAACGAGCTGGAATTTTTATCATATATACATTACTGAAACAGCAACGTCTACGTTGGCTTGGGCATGTCGTGAGAATGGCTGGTGGTCGGGTTCCATAAGATCTCCTGTATGGAGAAATAGTACAAGGAAATCACCCGAGAGGGCGACCACAGCTGCTATACAAGGATATCTGCAAGTGGGATCTGAAGGCCTTAGGAATAGACCTCAACAGATGGGAAACCTTGACATCTGAGCATTCAGCCTGGAGGCAGGCACTGCATCACGGCCTCTCCCAATTTGAAGAGACCCTTGTCCAGCAGGCTGAGGCAACGAGGCAGTCACGAAAGCAGCAAAACCAGGGAGCTGGACAGGGGACAGATTGTATCTGTCTTCAGTGTGGAAGGGATGGTCACTCTCGAATTAGCCTTCTCAACCACACTAGACACTGTTCCAAGTCCTCCATACAGAGCACATTACCATAGTCTCTCTATACTGAAGGATGCGTAATCTAATCTGACATTTCAAGCACTAATGTTTTCATAGATCCAGCAGTGGTATTATCTAATCCTGCTTCATCAACACTGTTTTTGGGGAGCACCTAGTCCTGCCCCCTTAACCCTCACTTTTCCATACAATCAGTGAGGGGTCTAAAGAGGAGAGGTCCCTTTCTGTATGTATGTACACTTGCGTTTGTTGCTACAAAGGACCCAGCACTTTTGCTTTTTTGAGAAAATGAATGTCAGCCATTTCCTTAACAGACCTGGTAACCACTGTGCCTCACCTCCCCTTTTATGATTATTGTGTGGATAAGGAAGAGGGGAAGTGAGCCATGAGCCCTGTCTTGAACTGAATTAAAAACTAATAAACAAACTCAGACAATTTTCAGCCTTGTAAGAGTCACTAATAATATATGATTACAGAAGTATGTGCATATTAGCTGAATTTCAGTAATAAGTTGCAACTGAGCCTCGTGGCGCAGTGGTTAAAACGCTGTACTGCAGCTAAAACTGTGCTCACGACCTGGGGTTCAAATCCCAGGTAGCCGGCTCAAGGTTGACTCAGCCTTCTATCCTTCCGAGGTCGGTAAAATGAGTACCCAGCTTGCTGGGGGGGCAATGTGTAGCCTGTATAATTAAAATTGTAAACCGCCCGGAGAGTGCTTGTAGTGCTATGGGGCGGTATATAAGTCCAAAAATAAATAAATAAATAAAATAAAAATAAACTAGAGTAGGCACTCTCAGTCAGTAAAACTTAGAAAGGAGCTGACTCAGCAAATCCCCACTGGTTCAACACGCCTATTATACTGGTGACTTACTACTGGGTTTCAGTCAATGGATTAGTACAGTATATGTGTAGACAATATTATGTCTAATTGTGTGTTATATTTTGGTTCATATTCTGTTCTCTTTGCATGATTCTCTTTGCATGATTTCATAACCAGTAATAATGTCATTTCACAAAAATTAAAATAGAAAATAAATTAATCTTACTTTCAGCTTTCTCATCTTGCCAAAATTTTATTGGATCTACTTTTAATAGATGACTAAATCTATTAAAGATTTTTAATGTATGCACAGAAGCTCAGCAAACATCAACCTAGCTAATTCTAGCCAATTTATGTGATATCTTTATAAGATGTCTTACTTTCACATGACACAAGCAAAGCTCCTTATTGTTAGACATAAAAATATTTACCACAATTCCACGAAGTTATCTATAGCGTCATGCTCCTTTTTCAACAATCAGTGGTAACTTCAAATCGACTTATCCTTTGGAGGATGCTAAAATGGATGGGAAACTCTTATCCAAAAATGAAGCAAACAAAATTTCTATGCGAGCTGGGGTATTATGGGAGTTACAGTGATGTTGGCTAACTTAGACAGAGGCTTTTCCTGTCTTTGGAAAGGGTGAGAAGGTTGTTTGGTTCAAGGTTTTGACAAAATATTTTCCAATATTCATAATTACCTTCATATATGCAAGGAAAAATAGTTGAGAGTTTGTTCTTATTAGGAAGAAAAGAAAAGCTGCAAATTCATGCATTCAATTAAATGCTTGGTTCTTAAAAATCTGGGTTTGAATCCTTGTGTCTGCTGCTGTGTTTGTGGTGCTGAAGTAGGTTTCCCAACATTTTTGCCTAAAATCTTCTTCACCTTTAATAGAAGGCAGGTACCACTTTGTGGGATTTCGGAACTCCACTTGTAGGCAGACATAAGCAGAGATAGGTTATCAGCCATAAGGCCTACACATAACCATAGATAAGGTTACAGCCTATACTCCACTAATTGAGATTAGGACTATCCTACAATTTGAGCAAATAGCAAATTCTGTAGCCTGATTCGGCTCAATTTGCACAATGTCCAGATTGAATCAGAATGGTCAAGTTCCACTCCAATGCGAAGCGAAGCAACTTTACTAATGCAAGTTTAGAATTCACTTTGGATACAGGTTATAAATAGAATAGGTTACAAATAGAATTAGATGGAGCATAAATCCATTCATCCTATTAGTGTTGTTCTCCAGATAGGACTGAACAGTTAGCTTGGAAGTTCATTCCATAAAATGTATTCCCAAAACATCCTGTATCATTATCTTCTCCATGCTGGGAATTGCTGTAGCTGCTGAGTTTGACCCACACAGCCAGCTGAAAATTACGTCCAGTTTGACAAAATCTTATAAATGGGTTAGAATTACTTATCAACATCCCAAATTCACAAGTTTCTTAGTTAACAGGAAAATGAATGCTTCAGGCATTCTTGTCACTGTCATTACTTGTTTATTATAAACTGGACACAGAGAAGGTCAAAAGCAAGCAATAGTGCCAAAGTACCGAAGCAGCATCTGTTCAGAACTTCAAAATCAGAGTCAAGCCAGACATTATCAGGAATAATGT